CTGGGAATACAACACAATCAACAGCTATAAATCCCGCAATGGCAGACCTTCAACGGCATGGTATCGTTTTCCCAAAACACGAAAGTCCTTGCTCGTCAAGTACAACTCTATACCGATGTATCCCATCTAACGAAGAGGAAGAGCGTGAGCAACTGAATATGATGTTAAAGCAAAGTATGTTGGACCAACAGCAGTTATCTTGTTATTCCGCAACAGCTCCACCGTTTTCAACACGGCAGCCAGATCCAAAACCTGTTAATGCCCCTGTTATTGATGCCAGGATCACCGTGTCTAGCAAAGAGGAGATTTTCGTCCAGGATTCAGATGAATCAACAATTTCTGATCCGCAACCAGAAAATAACGACGTAGAACGCGAGACTGCTGCCGAAGTGCTTGTGTCCCTGATGGGACTGAAAAAAACCCTGAAATGAATAGGTATAAACTTATACTAATTTTGACGTTATAAATACTTTTAATATCGGTTGTGTTCTTTACTGTAAATATAAGGGAATATTTCATATTTTTTTAATTGTATGTACCATATATGATACAGACCGGGTTATAAAGCCTATGTATATGTACAAGTTTTTGATGTAAATGTGTCCTATGCGTTGGTAGTCAAGTAAGATTTGTCTAAGTTTGGTTTTCAGATGGAGTTATACTCTAGTCTCTACCTCTCTGCTTGACAATGTTTATTTATAAGCTCTTTTTAACCAGAGGCAGACACAGAGTATAAAATAGAACATTTGAAAACGCAATCATAAGACGATAAGTACTGGTTTATCTCTCGGTAAATTTATGTTTTATGACTCTGTGACATATTTACAATTTAATAAATACTGCTTTTATATAGTTGACTTCAAGCATGAACTAAATGTACATCATGTACTGATATATATTTTTATTTCATTGACATTGTGACATTACGTGTATTTACGATATACCGTGTATATTTAATAATACGTTAAATTGTTTTGACAACTGTTGGTGTGAGAAAATAGCTATCATATTTTGTTTTCCAGTCGACATTCGTGCCAGTAGACAATTTCCCGTATTTGCTTGAGTGCACACGAAACAATACAAAACATACAAAACAAATTTTCATTTCCAGACAGCAAATTTGGGAAATGTCTATAAAAGCGTTTCGAAAGTTTTTGTAAAAACGCTGATTTTGTCGAAGTGATGAAATGGATTGATCAATTGATTGCAGTGGTCCGGCTAGAGGTTGTGTTTTCGTGCGTTTAGACATGGAATTAAAATAAAACAAGTAACACAAAACTCAAAAGCGAATTTATTGTATTATAACAGTAAAAATGAATTAAATATCAATATATGAGGTAGCCCGATAAAAACCTTTCATGTCATTTGCGTTTATTGATTCCAGTGCTTCATATGCAGAGTTTCAAGTTAGATTCTACTAAGTCACTTAGTCGATAATAATGCATCTCTGTTCGCATTTTAGAGAAAACAAATTCAACCGGATTAAAATCTGGAGAATAAGCTGGAGTGTATACTAATTCAATTCCTAATTCATCAAAGAAACTGACTAAATTGACGCCCCCGTCAAAGTGGTGAGTCGCACAATTGTCCATAACAACAATGTCTGCTACTTCGAGAGCTGGTCTTCCAGTAATAACGTCTCCAGCATTAGCAGCTTCACCCCAAAATTGCAAGAAATGAATTGTAGTTGAAGCTCCATCAACAATATTGGCATACTTCACTCCTTCTAGACCGGCTAAAACATTTACAGTGATGTTAGGCGTTTCATGATAACGCCTGATTTCTACACATCGCTCTCCTTTCGGCGCATGGCCATAGCAGCGAGTGCTGTCCGTTGGTAGTTTCAATCCAGCTTCATCAAAGAACTTTAATTTAAACGGGTCCTTCGAATGAAGATAATCGATAAACATTTGTGTGTATACCATATTAATGTGAGTAAATCTTTCAATTACGACTGTGGTTACTTTTTTTCTCATATACTCTTACCCGATATCATTCGGCAATGAATCGCTCTGGAGAGTTCCGATCGTGACACCTCGCCAAATACTGAGCCATGTTCCCTAAGTTTATCCAGCAATTCTTTATGTGATATGGTTGGATTTGCAGTTATTAAAACCTCTATAAGTTCAAGATCTTCTATACCAAGTTTTTGCTTGGATTTCCTCCTCCATGTGGACTTGGAAATACCGTTTTATTCTCGCAAAAAGAAACCCAGATATTCTTAATGGTTGTGTTACTTAGCTTGAACTTGTCTGCCACAGTTTTAAAGTCTCCGGGAAAATAAGTTGTTTCGCTACATCCTCCAGCCAATATTATGTCGTTGATGATAAGAGTTCTTAATTTGTTTCCTACAGCACGACCTTTCACGTAAGTTCGCCCTTTTTTACTTACTCTTTCCATGAAGAGTACATAATCTATCATGGTGCTTTGGCTATTGTATTAAAGATGCTATTGTCTTGAATACGGCGTAAGGACACGCCTTCAAAACTCCGTAAATAGCCTTGACAACATGGTGACGGCGCCATGACAACATTGTTCGAATTACGTCAAAACTATATGTTTAAACTTTAAAACGTTACGATAAAACTGTGGGCGTTCCAAACTCAACTGGAAATCACAGTATCAATGTTTGTAAATCGGATAGGGGTTGAATCTGAGTTTATCTGATATACAAACTCTTGCCTCCGGCTTGAGTTTGTATATCAAATAAGATTGACTACTCGTGCAACATGTACTTGTCTATCATTATAACTAGAAATACATGCATGCAACAACCCCTCGCCTATATTTTCCAAACATTGTTTCAACATGAAGTATTCGTAATTATGCTAACATTGAACACCGGCTCATGTTGCCATGTGATGTTAGTCATGGCAACACGATATTTTTAAAAAAAAATTTTGTACAAACCTGCAAAAAATAGGTTTGAACACTTTTAAATACAGAACTGTCAATTTCTAAAATATATTAAGTAGGTATATTATTTTGCTTTCTATGGGCTTTATTTTAATGTAAAATTCAAAACGAAACTTTACGTAAAACGTTTTTAAATGTGAATGAAATTAACTGCTTTTTGCCGATATTTATAAACTCCTCAAATCAAGCTTCAACTTTATACTAGAAATTACTAACGCAAGGAAAGTGCTGCCTGGCAGCCACAACTTTGGGTTAGGTTGTTCAAAATCTGTTTATAATCTGTGGATAATTCAAAACTAAATCAACACTATAATAGAAACATAACACTATTTTAATTTTTAAACAATGAAAATCGTATTTTATTGTAACAATCGCGTGCATATATGTTACAACAATACTCTAATTATCTAAAATTAAGAAAACAGTTCTCTGTAATGAAACAGATCCAATTTCTGAGCACTCGAAGCAAAAGTAGCTAATAGAAATTAAGTAATTATGGGTCATTCCACGGCTAAGTTCTCTGACAATATATGTATAATGTGACTCGTACGGCTACCTCCACACATTTAGCTATTATGCGATTGTCACGAAGGTTAATTTGCGGATTTGCAATATTCTTAGACACAAAGTCAAGTGTGGTCACTTCTAGAGTAATAACCTGGAATGACTCGCAGTTAAAATAACATTAATAATGGATAAATATAATGCACAAAAGCCAATGACTGTTAATACTATTAACAATGGAAACATAACATTATTATGTATACCACAACAACACTATATATACCATAATACTATTAATAATGGAAGCGTGTAACATTTGTGTTTTTTACAGAGAACTGTCAAAAGCTACATATCTTGCGGAAAGTGAATTTATTAAAGAACTACGACACTATACAAGGTTATAAAACACTATACAATGTTATACAAGACTATACAACACTATATAAGGCTATACGAGACTATACCACACCATACAATAATATATAAGACTATACGACACAATAACACTATACTACGTTATACAAAACTATACAACACTATACAACACTATACAACACTACACAAGGCTACATAACAATATATAAAGGCTACACGACACAACACTATACAACGTTATACAAGACTATGCAACAATATATAAGGTTATACGACACTATATACAACATTATACAACGTTATACAAGACTATATGACTATGCAAGACTATACACCACTATACTACACTATTCTACACTATAGACGACTATACAATGTTATACAACACTATACAACACTATATGTCATTTCGATGTTTTCCTTCGTGGTTGAGTTAATAGTTATATACCCGGTGCCTGTGAGCAGAGCCTTAATATCAAGTCTTCAATCATTTTCATTTTTTTCTTCGTAAACTCATAACAACATATGCCAACATTGAACATGCCTGCATCATTCTGTCATGATATTTAAATGGTCCATATAAACTTATTACTAATAAGTAAACATTGTCAACATCGTATACTAATAATTGGCTAAAATGTACCTGCAAAAAATAATTTTCTAATGAAATTATTGTCTTTTATTTGTGAAGAAATTATCATTTTGTATATTTTCATCATGACGGAAAGTACAGAGCGAGAGCTTTATGGCGACTTACGAGCAATTACCGACTGACAGAAATCCAAATTTCTTCTATATTTTGATTCAAGCTGCATCGTTATAACTCACTCGGTCAAGGAAACTGGCATGAGTCATGACGTCAAAGTCAGTTGTTGAGATTAGTGTGCTGCCTACGGCCGCACTATGAAATGAAACAAATTTAACTCGTACAGGACGCTAATGAAAATAATTTGCTTTCCTTTTTATTATGAACTTCTACAAAGGTTAATTTAACTAAGAAACTTTTGCAAACAATGCATAGGAAAGACTTCAACATCAAGAACAAAGTCTATAATAATACAAAGTCATACATAAACAATTGAAACAAACTTGCCCTATACTTTAGGATTTCTCACACTATATCAAATTGTTATATATGGTTATGTTTAAAAATTGCAAAAACGTTTTACAATTTGTTATGTGAAACAATTTTCCCAGCTTTCTTACATGTATTTTTTGCCTTCACTCCTACCAAACAGCCATCATGAGGTCAGTGAGATGACCACCCACCGAAACATGCACAGTGACCCATGCCCACAATCATTGATGAACTTTGGACTTCGCTAATGCTTTCATTTCCCCGGGTGTAAATAGCGGGGCGGAAGTAGTACCCTTGCCCCCCGGGCTTACGAAAATGGCTCGGGGAAAAGACATTTGGAACCACTAACTTCATTGAGAGCAGCAACAACATCCTTGTTTAAAACCTTTCTTTTTATGTGCACTCCCGATAACTGTATATCATAGCACCTAATCTTTCGTCCTGTGCATCCTATATTGGTGTGCCTTACAAATCGTTTCAATTCATCTGCCAATGTTTTCTTCTCTATGGATTCCAACGCCTTTGCTACATGAAAGCCCTGAACTTCACTGCAATCACAATTAATTGCGTGAGAGATATTTGGGATTTAAAGAATTTCTTTCCCTGGAAGTAACACAAAAATGCTGATATAATAATAAAGAATTCACACTACGTTGTCCGGTTCGGATTACATGCATGTAGTTTACAGTTATGGTGGACCGGAATCTTACTTACAGATTGTGGATAGATAGATAGATAGATAGATAGATAGATAGATAGATAGATAGATAGATAGATAGATAGATAGATAGATAGATAGAAACTTTATTTGAATTCGGATTTAAGTTTATCTCCGAAGATAATGAACAAATTACTATATAAAAAATATGTTACAAATTATCCCTATGTATCATGCTAGTGTCAATTTAATATCAGTAAGATTAGTAAAATAATAAAATTAAAAATTGAAATGAGATAAGTTAATTATTTTGAGAAAGTCTTTTTATGAATAGCAGTTTTAAAAACATTCAAGTTTTTAGCTGTTCTTTCAATATCTGATAAACTGTTCCATTGTTTTGGTGTACAATATCTGAAGGAATTCAGACCATACTTTGTGGTTCGTACTTTGGGCAGTTTTAGTTTATGGAGTCCACAGAGCGATGTGTACGCTCTGTCCTGCAGCAGTTCCCAGATATGACTTCAATCATTGAGACTTTATTGCCATTCCCATTGAACTGGTCATCGGATGTTGAGTTTTCTTCGTGCTGAATATGCTGAAGTGTAAACGTCCGGTGGTGCGGAATTACAACATCAGCGAAGTGTGATTTGAGAAGGCCACAGTTCGTTCTTCATCCCAATTTTCTCAATTATCTCATAAAAAAAGGAAAGTTTCTTCTCAAACAACGAGGATTTAATTTAATCTTGTTATTATAGCCAATTTAGATTATTTTCTGTTGCCATGTTTTCTGTGACAAGTGCATCCATGCATATTGTCGGTTTTCGTTTGGTTTTTGGAAGCACCACGTAAGTTCAAATTTGCACTTATTATTATTCGTCATGTTATGGAAAACTACAAGGAAGTTCATGTTGGCTTTTGACCATGTGTATTTGGTAAGGTTGAAATTTTGCTCAATTGTATAAAGATAAGCAAAGAAAATTTGACAAGTAATTTAAGCATGTGGCCATTCAGTTGTGACATTGTGTGTGTGTAGAAGTACATAGCACCAAATAAGTTAACAGACATCACCCGCAAGAATATATCTAACAAGTTTATATATAAAGTCTTACCTTCATTGTACTATGCAATAGCAAAGCATAGTTTGTCTGATCTCTTGGCTGCACATCTATTATTAGTTCTTCTGTAAAATGAACTGCCTCATTGAACAGTTCGTCTTCTTGATGCCCAGTGAAATCGTCCCTGAGCTGCAGTATGACACCGACACTACAAATCACTTGTGCCATTACTTCTTTCATATCCGCTTGGAAGGGCCAAGCTATTCCCCTTCTTTGGTAGGTAATTTTTTATATGGTATAATGACAAACCTAGAGAATATGTTGAATGACAAAAAAAAATACAAAATGTTACTAAATATACTTGCAGAAGTCTAATATCAAAAACCACTTCACTGTGTATAGTTTCGAATCATGCAATGACAGTGTTATTTACCACAACATCCTTTCCTTATCATTTGCCAGCACCCTTCCAATTATGGATCAAAGTTTTAATGTTTCATCCATATATAAAGTCATAAAAATTTATTATACTGCTGGATTGTATGAAATGAACTTGGTATAATAGTAATTTATTCCTTACCTTGATGAAAGCATCAACAGTAACGTTTTCTGATACAAACATATCTGCAACATTGTCCCACCAGAATGGCAAGCTCCGGCAACTTAATGTCACCATGGCACCCACATGTGAGCAATCGAAAACGGTAAAATGTACGAATTGAAAAAGAATGGTAAAATACTAAATTAAAATAGCTGTATTATGTATCTATTTTTACCTCCAGTTTTGTTTTCATCTTGTCCAATTACAGCAATCACTGCTTTCACTGCAGTGGATTTTCCTGACACTGGCTGACCATATGCCATGATCAATGGGATTCCATCGTACACAGTGGACAATTGTTCCTAATGCACGGCCAGTCCAAGTCCACCAAGCACAAGTGAATTGGCGGGAAAATTTACACGAACAAATTTTTTTGGATTTCCACCATTCTCCACAGGCCAAATTGTCTATTAATTAAATGAAAATTCAGGCTATAATTATGACATCATCTGCATTTTCACAATCTATATTTTTCATTTTTAAATATTACATTTACTTAAATACGATGATAATTAAAAACAAAGAAAATATCGGCTGCAATTTTTGATAATATATACATTGTGAAAATATACTTTCACCATAGCCATCTTGTGCATAGACAACTATTTGGGCAAATCGTTTGAGAAGATGTAACATGCATTTTAGTATATTATCGGATGTCCTTTCAAAATATTTGAGAAGTTCATGTATAACGGATATCATTATCAGTTACTTATTGAGTTCAAGGTGTATTTTGTGGACCTGAGACCACCTTTGTTGCCCGAGGCAAAGCCAAGGGCAACAATGGTTGTGGGGCCACAAAACATACTGCTTTCCCGAGGTCTCAGTAAATACGTTTTTTGTTATATGGTATATAAGTGTCAAAGTATGGTTATTGGAGTTAACTTAATTTGAAACCAAAACTGAATAAATGGAACACTGTAAATGTATAATAAAAATGTTTAATAAAATGAACTTTGGAACTTCACAGTTGACATGCATGCACACTGTACTCATTCTATTATTGAACGGTCAATAATTGTTTCATTGTGGGCTGGTTGCTGCCTCGCCAAAGCATGAAGTGAAATGAAGTTTTGTGGACCGATATGTGCTACGGTTTTGACCAATCAGCAAACATAGAAATTGAACTTTGACATTAACTATATAACAAGGTTACAAGATTGATTGTTATATAGTTACTGTTATACAACGTAACTGTATCAAAGTTATATAGTAACTTTTTTATTAAACATTTATGGCGCTCCATTTATTTCGTTTTGATTTCATTAGTCATACTTTGACACTCACACACCGTATACTATATAACAAAACACAAAATACACTGTTTCCCTTGCTCTCAGTAAATGAATGATATGTAAATGAGTCATAATGAGACGACAAGAAATAATTTATTTTGCCAAGCACTTGCGTAGTAAACAAACTTCTACATGTTCACACACTATTAATTAAGTATTTTAACAAAATATACAAACCTACTTAGGGAAGTGTTTTAATTTATTATTTACCACTGGTACTGTACACCAGTGTCAGCCGTTAAAATTATTTTTCATATTGAACGCCTTGACGTCAATCCTACAGTCATTAAAGATTAGAACCAGAAGTAGATGTTGATTAATTTAAAAAATCCGAAACTATGATAATCTATATGGTTTCCAAACATTCTATATCGTTATATTATCCATAGAAAGAGTAAGGAAAGCCAAGGAAAGCTAGGGCTAAGGAAGGCTAAGGAACGTCAAGGAAGGCTAAGGAACGTCAAGGAAGGCTAAGGAACGTCAAGGAAGGCTAAGGAAGGCAAACAAAGACTGGGGAACACCAAGGAAGGCTAAGGAATGCTAAGGAAGGCTAGCGAATGCTAGGAAAGGCTAGGGAATGCTAGGGAAGGCTAAGGAAGGCTAGGGAACGCCAGGGAAGCGAATGCTAGGGAAGGCTATGGAATGCTAGGGAATGCTAACGAAGGCTAAAATATTAAATAATGGTTTGGGTATTTCGGTCATTCGTACATCAAGAAAGGCCCCTATTAGTCTGGGTTAGTCTAGTAATATTCCTGTTAAAGCTAGGTTCCTTGTTATTTTATGTCACTTCCTACCATAATCTGTTCAATGCCACCTGGAATATGGTATATTAATTTAATCAGGACACATGCATTGGTCAAAACTATTGAAAATTTTTCAGAATTAATATTATTAATATGAGCATTTTTCAAGATATACTGCATGTGCATGCATTGGATAACATACTTTGTTATTAGAGACCACCTCCTGCAATTCTTGTATGCACTTTTCATTTACCAATGTGAATTGACAATCTTGTTTGTAGTCAATACGGATGCATCATCCATCAATCATAAATAGATGTACCTATATCATAAAAAGATGCAACTCCCCCTGCTTGTGTATTTAATTGTTAGTAAAATTTTCCTATAGTTAGTGGACCAAAATAAATCTCATTTAGAAAAGAGCTGCCATTAAATTATATAACTTTTCTTGCAACAAAGTATTTTGCACTGAAATGAATAAGCAACAGCGATGCTATATATATGATGCTATATATATACCTTTCTGTTTCCATTTCCAGATATTTCCATGGGGAACTGCTAGACTGGTTTGTCTCTAACCCTGTGGTGCGCCTGGACTTGGAGTAAGAACTCTTGAGTATTATTGACAGCTCGGTCATCTACTAGGCTTATTAGAATCATTCTTGTAAGTGTAGACATAATCAGTTTACTAAATTAAACATAATAAAACAACCAAATATATAACATTAATGTTCCACAAACATTTAAAAGTATATGTGTCACTCGTGTCGTCCATTGTCCAGTCGTGTGGATAAAATGTGTTGGAAATAATGTAATGTTTTTTTGGTGTTTTTTTTTATATATACATATTATTAGGGACCCTGTAAATGGAGCAATAAGCTCTGTAGGGTTAACCTGTCATTTATGACTAAGTTTGTAAAAATAAATAAATAAATAAAATTAATCAAGCTTATAGGTCAAATATATATGGCAATATGCTGACATTAGAATTTCAAGCGACGTACAGTGAAACGCCACTTATTGTCTGGTTCCCACCAGAGCAATGAAGAGGATGGGCATCCATGTCTATATCCTGGGCTTTGGCAAGAATTTGTATTAACGTCAATGACTTTCCTACATTTCATTCAGCAGAGTATATCATACGGCCAGGGTCATCTAGTCAGAAAATAAAGGCCAGGGCCAGGGTCATCTAGTCAGAAAATAAACGTGTGATACATTTTTATTCGAGGTATGAGACATGATATTACTGATTGAAAGAATATATTATGTTGGGAAGAAATCTTAGTAGTGGGGCTCTACAGTGAGCAATGTTGCATCTACCTGATCAAGTTTTACCTGTGTAGATACTGTCAAAAGAACTTCTGGTGGAGTCTTCTAACAGTGACAAAGCAAGACAAAAATGATTGTAGGGCCCCTTTAAAGAAATTTACATACTATATATTTTCACCCATTAATTAATTATTACACATTATAAGATAGATAATAATAAGATAGATACTTTATTTAAACACACTGACCCCATCAACCAAAGCTGAATTCCATGGAAGGTGTGTGCAAAAATATACAGATAATATTTACAAAATTACATAAGATATATTGTATTAAATAAAATTTAAGATATTAACTGTTATACAGAAATCTATATTCAGTTTGCGAAAGGGCAGAATAATAAAATAACAATTAAAGAAGGATGCCTGTGGGAATGAGATACTACTTTTTTTTTACTTGTCCTTGCAGCTACTTCGAATATCAATCAATGTGAGTAACGATTTTCTTTCAAAATGCAGAGGGATTTGCTCTCCCCAACTTGTTTTCAAATAGAATTCCAAAAGAATATGAGTGAACATGAGTAAACTTTTTTATATTATTTGTATGTGATTGTGGTAAACAAAGGGCGTTGGAAATATCACAGAGGTGATAATTTGTTTTCCCTTATGTACCCTACGTTAATTATTATTTTTACTCTGTCAAATGTTCAACTATTATTATGCCGAGTGTCCCCCGAAAGGCAGGTTTGACAAATCCAATACTTTTTTTAGGTTGCAAAGCAGCAGCTGCAAAGGGTTGCAAACAGCAGCAGCAACAGCTTGCAAAGTTTTGCCTTTCGGTCATATCTTTGTCACTGATGATGCATTCTACTTTCTCCCAGTAGCCATTATGCTTTTTGAAAGACTCCATAATTTTGTTACAGTTTGGTTAAAAATAAAAACTCCATCATTTTGTTATAGTTTGGAGGAAATAGCATGGTCTTAAGAATCCAAATACAAACTTTTTCACTTTCTCCATTACCATCTTCCACAAGCATACGTAAACATGCATTTGCAAATCATTGAGTTTGTTTGTGGCATCAATGAAGAGAAAGTCAAGACAAATTCATGTTTTTCTCATTTCCTCTGTTTGAAAGTATATCGCTTGCACAACATTTTCTTTGTCGACACAAACCTCTATACTGGCATCTAAATAAAAAATAATGGTTTATGCAGTAGTCCTTCGGGTTAACTAAATTATCTGTTTGGGGTTGGCCGTTATCAAGAAATTGTTAGAAAGAAATTTATTTTTGTTTTACACTTACTTGGATACTCTTTAATCTCATTAAGAATT